GCCGAATTGCCATGTGCATGCGGGGGGGGCGGAAGGGGTTTGAGAATGCGACGAGGAATTTCCTGGGGGTGCCGGATGTGGCGTTTGGGTTGGACTGGTTTGGGCGCGTTGGGGGGGTGGCGGTGGTGGGAGAGAGGATGAGGTGTTTCACGGGGCTGGTTTTTCGAGAAGTTGCGGGGGTTGAGGGCATGCGGATGCGCGGCCGATGGCGAAGGTTTTATGGGCCGAGGGATATGGTAATGCGGGGGGGGGACGGTGGCGTTTAACTTTTTGGATGCGGAGGGGAAGGTGGTGGATGAGAGGATCGTGGCGATGGAGTCGGCGGCGGCGAGGATCTCGCTGCGCACGGGGTGCTTTTGTAATCCCGGAGCGGGTGAGGCTGCGTTTGAGTTGGATTTCAAGGGTGTTCGGAAGCTGTCGATCACGCGGAAGCTGTCGAGAAGCCGGCAAGCGTCGGGGGGTCTGGATCAGTTCATCGACGCGCTGGGCATGCCGTACCTTGGGGCTATCCGGGTCTCGTTCGGCCTGGCCTCGAACGTCGCGGACGTGGACAAGTTCTTTGGCTTTGCCGAGAAGACGTACAAGGACCGCGTTATCACGGAATTGGGCCTGCCACCCAGGATTCAGTGTTGAGGTGTAGCTGTTACGGTGTGTTAGTACTCGGCGAAGGATATTGGGTGGAAAAGCGTACGAAGCAGGATGGAGAGAAAAGCGTGTCATGTTATCATTGCCAGTTTTGTAGGTGTAATTTTGTACTTGTTAGGTTAGGGAATGCTATCTATCTCAAAACGTACTGGTGTTACCAGACTGTTCCAACCTTGTTACATGCATCCATAACACCCCCCTCCAGATCCCATCACCACCGATCCACCCCCCTAAGACAGCTTGGGGACGGTCCACGGGCTCCACGAATTAAGGTCAAAGTTCTGGTTCCCGGTGGAACGGAAGATGTTCGTGTTGCCAGCATTGGGGTTGTTGAGCAGATACTTGCCAATAAAGGCGTTGAGCTCGCTGCCCTGCTGCGAGCTGGGGAAGCTGCAGTGGGAGTTACCGCCAACCTGCGAGTAACCGAAGCTGTCGAGGGCGCCCAGGGCCTCCCACTGCTTGCGGGCAATGCCCATGCAGCCGTAGGTCGACACCTTGCCGAGCCACTCCATGTCGGTGTTCTCCATGACGTAAAGGGCACGGGGCGCGATGAGACCGGCTAACATGTGGTGGTCGAAGGGCAGCGCGTTGACGTTGTTGACCTGGCTGTTGAAGTTGGTCGAAAACCAGACGTTCTCCGTGACGATCTGCTTGGACTCCTGCACGTTCTCGCCCCTGTTCTTCTGCCATGTAGCAATTCTCCAGCAGCCGGAACCGCCCGCGCCAGATTCCTCAGGAAGAGTCAGGGCAATGCGAGGCTCCAGTGCACCCGCAACCATGGCGCCCTTGCCGTTCCTCGAGCAGCCTGTCACGCCGATTCTTGCCGGATCAATGTTGGTCTGAGCACGCGTGAGTTCCAGCGCGTCGATGATACGGGAAACACCCCATGCCCAGGCCGTCAGCGCGCCGGCAGAGTGGCCGCTGCCGTAGATGTCATAGAACTTGCCCTTGCCGCGCGAAGACTGGTCCTGTTGCTGGGCAATCTCGTCGTTGTTGAAGTTGATGGTGGCCACGCCGGCCGGGACGGGAAGACCACCAAAGGTTCCAAAGTTGATGATGGCCGGGTGAGGTCCGCTACTCGACGGCCGGTTGTTGATGCTCACCGAGAAGGAGATGGACTTGCCGCCCTCCGAGACACTGATGCTCAGAGTGCTGCCCGAGAAGCTGGCTGTGACCGACGACGGCTTGGGCGGGAGAGTGCCCAGCTCGTATTGCTGGAGAAGCTTGCTGATCTCGGCTTGGCGACACGTCCAGTCTGCTTTGCTGGATACCTTGCCGCCACCGTGGAAGGTGAAGGGGTCGTTGAGCGCGTTGGCAACTGGGCTGCCTTGGCCGCTCGGAGTGGCGGGGCAGGTAGTACCACCTCCGCCCGGCGCAGGCGACGTGCTTGTAGGAGGTGCAACAGTCACCCGGGACGTGGTGAGCGTGGAGGACTGCTGAGGCGGATTTGTTGGGCTCGGTGAACGGTCGCTCCCCGGGATACACTGGTGGTACCATTGGTTCTGTTGGAAGCAGTATGCCCCATCCACACACGCTGTTGGGCCATTCCAGCCTGAACCACCGCATTGGCCCCAGAGGGCTTGGCGCTGTTGGGCGTGAGCACCGGCGGCGCCGAGTACGACCAGAAGGGACGAGGCGAGGGCAGGAGACAACATCTTGACTGAGGGTTGCGGGTCAGGGGACAATGAAACTGGAGAAAGCCTAGTGTGTCGATGCTCTACTTGGAGCTGGTTCCAAGACGAGGTCCCAGACCGTGCCTTATAAGTCATTTTGCTGGCGGGGCATTGCCTGGTTAGCCTTGGGGACTTTCCTCTTTCCCCAACATTTCCATCTTTGTAAGTTTGGTACGCCAACTGGAACCATGTCTCGAACCAGGTATGTGGCTCCCATTGCGGCCGTAAATGGATGCTGGACGCCATCTCCGTTCACGTGGACTTCTACACCGTTGAACCTTTTCTCGATCTCATTTTAGCCTGAAGTACGGACGAGCGGCTGAGGCTTGGAATCCGGGGAAGAGATGGTTGTTGACCTGGTTTTGATAGACTCGCCCTGCTTGGGCTGGGTTTGCGTTGCACTGAGGGAGCCTTTCTGTTAGTGGATGCAACTTTACTAATGTAATATCTACGAAGAGCTGCCCCTAGACCGCTCTTGAGCCTCCAACTCGTCCCCGCTACTCGGCAGGCCATGCTCCGAGCGTGGCGTACCATTTAGGATCGTATTCGGAACCCGATGTCACCACATTGCCCATCCTGCCCAAAGAAGATAACGGAAGACGGTTTCTAGAATGGCACTAGAAGAACGCAAAAGAATTCCCATGCTTCTAAAGACTTGGCAATGGCCCAGTTTGGTCCCGGGGCACCCTCGTTTTCGAGGTCGCTCCGCCGGAGGGCAAGGTTAGCACTCCCCTCCACGAGGTGGTGGTTAGTTCTCCAAGAGTGTCCGTCATGAGTCTCATCGTTGCTTTCCTGCATGTGTTGTACAAGCAGGCCCTGGGTTTCTCATATTGCTATTCCCAGAAGGGATCTATCTGGAATTGGAACAACTTATTAAGGTATTATCACGCTGTTTGATACCTTTGAGGGAGGCCATTTAGACTCCAAACATGCCATCCTCAAGCCCACCCAACCCGGGCAGCTGCTTGTCAAAATGCGACTATCAGATTCGAACGCGGCAAAGGTGCTTCATGAGGATGACCTTGGCGTGTGGGATGCAACCCGAAAATGGTAGAGCCGGCCCTAAACCAGCACGGATAAAGTCGGCTGGGCTTGGAAATGGGTTTCTTTGACGCAATTCGGAAGCTACCGCGTTGAAGCCCTGGGAGAAGAGTGACATCGTGGTGTGGGGGTCCACGTAGAGTCGCATCTTTGGGCGCCCTTTGCTGCTTAAACCAAACTTATCGTTGTTCGTGGTGGCCTATTTTCCCACCAATAGTCCATTGCGGTTTGGGTCCAGACAGTTTTGGTTCCCGAAATGACTACCTACACCCAGTATCGGCCCCTGAACCTGTAGTTCCGCAGCCGTGTTTGCCTTGGGAGCCCGGGGAATAGGAACGAGGGACGCAAAGCTCGTGAAGACAAAGAAATAGGGAATACTGCGATAGAATCATAACGAAGTCCAACAGAATCACTCCTGAATTCATTGACTAGGTTCTGGAGCAAAACCGGCGCAACGGTCGCTGTCTGAGTCGAACCTGGGTTGCCTGTGGCATATGAAGATCTACTGGTTTATGAATGCCCGCCCAAAGCAGAGCTTGCATTTTATCTCGACCCTGCATGCTTATCAACAAAATCAAGAATAGGAACGATGTAAGTATCCCATCCCGGTACGTCCGGACCCTAGAGCACGGTATTAGCCAAGTCACACCCCGTACGCCTGGAAATCCTTACCGTGTACTTCATGTCAAACACATGCAGCCCGCCCTCCTCATAACATTCCACCACCGGAACCCCGGCGTCCTTCAGCACGCCAGCCATGGCATAGCTTTGCTCAACAGGGACGTCCACATCCCCAGTGCCGTGCAAAAACGCGGTAGGCGGGTACAGTTCAAGCCCCCTTTTCCCCTCAATAACGCGATCCTGCAGTACCCGCAGCGGCGACATGGACCGAACAAAAGCGATAAAACTTTCCTCGCTCTCAAACTTTTCCCTGTGCATGATCCCCACATGCAGGCCATCCGCTGACCGCGACAGGGAGTGCATCATGTGCAGCTCGGCCTGCATTAACACCCGGTCCGTGTACCGGAATTCGGTCGCCCACAGCTTGCTGATTTCGGTGTCCGTCAGGCGGGTGAACTCGTCCCACGGCAGCCCGTCAGTCAACACGTTGGCTTGATCGCGGTCCCGGAGCAGCTTGTTGAGTGTCTCTTCGGAGAACTTGCCGTCCCACGGTCCCTGTGTGGTTCGGCTGGGGCGTTGGTGAGGGGGCCCGAACGCCTTCATCGACAGGAAGTCCACTACACCGTATACGTCGATGATTGTCCTCGGGGCTGGAGCGGGCAGGTGCAGTCCCATTAGGGTGGCGAGATGCCCCCCCGCGGATTCGCCGCAGAGAATGTAGCGGTCCACATCGATGTTATCGGCGCCGAGGATGGCCGGGAGGTTGGCGCGGCACCATGCAATAGCCTCGAGGCAGTCGGCTAACTGTTCATCTACACGAGCTTGCGGGGCCAGTCGGTAGTTGTGCGAGACGAAGTGGTATCCGCGCTGCCGGAAGCCGGGTGCCATCCAAGGCAGGGGAGCGAAGTCTTGTGGCGTTAATTATTGAGAGTCTTGTTGGTAGTTGGGCACATACGGAAACCGCCAAACCATCCACCGCCATGAGTCCTGGAGTTGTTAGTTCCCGCATTTGTGGTTTGATGTTTACGCAGCGGGGTCGGAAGTAGGGGAGAGAATGAGATAGGGAAAAGAAAAAAAGGAAAACAAGAAGAAAGAAAACAGAGAACAGCCGATTGTGCAATAATAGCACTGATAGCATTTTGGGAGTAATTAGTGAATCTTGTCCTACCAAACGACAAACGGCGCTGGCGCCTTCACTGGAGTCTCAGCAGGCCACACTCGTACGTCGAGCTCGGCGCCATTGGATGACTTGAAAGTATGATCGGTAAAGCCTGGGGGGGCCGCTGGAGGAGCGCCAACCATGGTAAAGAATTAATCGCGCCAGAACCCTTGAAATGATGCTTGGCTTGGTCAATTCTCGAGATGCGTGCATGAAAGTGATCACGATCCAGGGGCAGATGTCAACGAGGGGCAAAGCTTCATTTCCCCGCGCCCTCCACGATTGTTTTTGCAATATATCCGGGATCAGCCGGATAGGGTCGTATTGTATGCCAAGATTATCTCTTTCCGATCTTGGTTAGAGGGTGAGGGTCTCATGATGCGAGACATACATACCTTAGTAGTAATGCAAGTTGATTCGGACGAAAAGAGTGCACAGTATGGGAATCACGGCCCCCAATCCACAATCCCACATGTTTGCAGGCCCTTTCCAGTTTGAAACCATGAGCGGGAGACCCCAAGATAGCATCAAGCTGACTCGTCCCCACGTGCGTAACGCGCCGAAGGATCAAGCCAAGCTCGGCACCCAACCCCAAAGCGGGCTAGGAAAGGGGCACGGAATGTGAGAGTGTAACCCCTGTCTGTCCGAGAATGTTTGCCTTCCCCAACATGGACCGTGACCACCAACTCGCCGACCTCCGCCAAGACCGTCAATTGTTTCCCCGAAACATTTCCCTCACCTTGAGGCCGGGCCGCTGATCTACCCAACTGTCAGAGCCACGTCGATATCAAAGACGCGTGCGCGTCGTTGGCCGGAGCTAGGCGCCATGTCGAAAGCCATTGGGTGGAGTAGGGAGGACTACGAGGCGGCCCAAGTCGTGAATCTCTCGGACGGATTGCACCCGGTACACCCGCAACCGAGCCAGCACTACTATCAGCATTATGCCCCCGAGCCGGTAGGTCCGGGCGACGAGAGCTGGAGGTATCAAGGCTGGCAAAACAACCAAAACTCCCCAACACCTCCGTCATTAGGGAAGGTAGCGTCACCGTCATCCATTGCGCCGCCGCAGGGACCAACTCATGAGATTGGGACATCGGGCACGCAGCCGAGGATACTCGGGCTCAGGAGGACGACTTTCTTTCTGACAGCCAGCAACATCCTGCTGGCCATCGCGTTGGTTGTTTTGGGGGTGGTGCAGAGCCAGGTATTAAGGAACGAGACGGGAACCGCGACGGGATCGGGAGCACAGGGGGTGTGTCCCAGGTGAGTCTAGCCCTTTCCAACTATCATCTATCCATCCTAGTCCACTCTCCATCTCTCCGCCTAGTTCAGGCTGCCCAACTCTATCCATCCTACACTAGTGCCCTCTCCACTCTCCCTTCCCTCGCCTATCAACCCTCAGCTATTAACACAACCCACCAGCGCCACCAACCCAAGCAGCACCTCCACCGCCACCTCAACCTCCCCACCCACCTGCACGCCCGAACCCAACAAGATCTGCTTCGCCACCGACCAATCCATCACCACCGCCGTAGCCGTGGGCGCCGTGATCCAAGAATGCCCGCTCCCCTCCGGACAGGCCAACTACACGGTCCCGGGGACCAAGCTCACCTTCCGGCGGGAGTGCGAGACGGACTACCCTAGCGGCGACCTGGGCATGTTCCCCGTCATCTCCATGGCCGACTGCATCGCGCTGTGCGCGCAGCTAAACCTGTACCCGGCCTCGGCGCTGGGGCCGTGCACGGGGGTGTCGTGGGTGACGGCAGACGGGCCGCAGGGGACGGGGTTGAGCTTCTGTTATCCGAAGAGTGGCATGGGGAAGGCGACGACCAGGGCAAAGACGGAGAGCGCGGTGTTGCTGGGGGTGTAGGGATTGGGGGCTTATTGGGAGGCGGGAATGGCGTTGGGGTTGTGCTGGGTGGGTGGTTTATGGGTTGGGAACTTGGGATATTTCAAGTTCGGGCTGTTCCAGATATGTATATCTCGCTGTAATCTCTGTATTACCAACAAATAACCATGTTTCAAACCAAACGACAAGCTGCCGGTTTGTGAGATACCTACCTACCCTCCCCATCCCTCACTTCGCCGGAGGACTCATAACCCCCCTACGCCCCCTCCTACCCGCACTTTTCCCATTCCCCCTCGCGCTCATCACCGTCAGGGTATGTACAAACCGCAGCTTCCCCTTCTCGACCCGGAACTCATGACTATCCGGGATGGTGGCAAAGCTCAAAAACACCGACACGGCCCCGACCGTCTCATCAATGACATAGCGCCGATCCGTCAAACTCACACCACTCGGAATGCCCACATCGCACTTATCATTCGGCCCTCCATTCCCCGTATACATGCCCCCCTCCAACCGCGCACAGGGATACCCCCACGGCACAACCACGCTCTTATCACTAAAAATATCACAGTACGCATCCGCCGCGGCCTGAATCACCTCCCTCGAGTCGCGGTCCGCCTCCGGGATAGTATCCCACTTTTCCTGGCTAGCCCAGTGGAGGGTGCCGGTGGCATTAAACAACCAATCCCCTGTGGTGGTGACGAGGGTGTCGATCTTGGACACGGCGCCGTCGGCAAAGTACATCTGCACGCCCAGGACGTAGGGGGTGGGGCCGGTGGCGGAGATCAGCTCCGTGTAGGTGGCGCATTGGGTCGTGTCGAGGCTGTGCCGGCTGTGGTCGATGGGGAGGGCCTTGGTGAGGATGCCCGAGGGGAGCTGGGCGGCGGCGTAGTTCTCGCGGTAGGTGATGGTGTCGGAGACGGGGGTGAGGAGCGCGGGGTTGCCGGCTTTTTGGGCGGCGATCAGGCTGTCGGCGCTGGTTTGGAGGAACTCACGGGTGCAGTCGGCTGCGGAGGCCAGCAGAGGGCTGAGGGCCCCAAGGGTGAGGAGGGAAAGGGTGTGCATGTTGGTTGTAGGTGGCAATGTGTGTTGTAGGAGGGTGAGAAGATGGAGTTGAGGAAGGATTTACAACAGACAGACAACCTTCACGATCCAGCCCTAGGCACCGTGACATGGTCGACTTTATATCCCGGCGTGCTTTGAGGGGTCCGGGAGTGTAAGGTTAATGTGGGCAACGGGTAATTACCCTGGCCAGTACATTCCATGATATTTGGCAGGTTATATGTGAGGTTTAGTTTCGGCAGTTTGTCCCTGCCAAGTGATTGGTACGCATGACGTGGGCGGCATTTGACAACTTTATATTGAGGAGCGTGATGGTACTTTGCAGAGCGGGGATCGGCAGCCGAGCTACACTTCTACACCCGGGGCCTTCTGCTACTCAGTTATCCCCATATATTCTTAGGCGGACTGTACCGGTATATCAAGGGCTGCAGTCGCTGGTAATGACACGAACCTCTGGCCAATAAAGCATGCCTTAGTTGCCGGTGTAAACTATGAATTCTGCAGGGCCTTGGCTCGACGGCAGAAGACCTCTTGATTCCTACCTATCTTAGGTTTTTTGCGAGACACGTTGAGTAAATCTACGATGTACGAGTTGCTAACCTTGAGATGAGATGAAGGGACAGACTTCTGGAACTCGCAAACCTGTGGCAGGAGCCCCCTACGGACAGCATACATGAGCAGGTCCAACAAAGAAAGCACCAACAACCAGTTCTTTCCATATAGTGTAGTGGTTTAGCATTCCAGATTTTCAATCTTTGACTTGATCCTTCTGGCGACCCGGGTTCGAACCCCGGTATGGAAACTCTTTGCTTTTTGGTTGTTGGGTACAGTATACATATAGATTACCGAGCAAGTAGAAGCTCGTTTGGTATTATTCCAGCTCCTGAATTTAGCACTGCTATGTATAACTAAGCGAGGCAGGACCATGATGGAATGTCACGTCTCACAGAATAGAGGCGTTCAACAAAATAAAGAGGGCCTACGTGGTGTTAGGTTAGGTAGTAATTATTCCACCCATGAGCGAAAGTCATGGAAGCGCGCAGAGGTCACACGCTAGCGCGCCGAGGCGGCGCGACAGAGTCTCAGCATCCGGGCGCACCTCAGAGATCATCTGCCTGGTAAGTCTGACGGCCTCGCCGTATTTCTCTTGCTCGTTGCCAAACGACAGCCCCTCCAGCCAGGCGACAGCAACGGCGTTGTTATGACCGCGGAAGTTGTATCCCCTCTCCCCTGGCAGCTTGTGGAAGATATCAAAGACCCTGCTGCCAGTGATGACGGTTAGCATCTCGACATAGACGCAGCCGAGCGAGAAGACGTCGGTGGCTGGAGTGCGCTCGCCTCCCTCGGCGACCTCGGGCGCACTGTAAGAGACGGTCTGGCTGGTCCGCCCAGTGGTCACGTCGTCGAGGCTCTGGAAGCGGTGTGCCAGGTCGAAGTCAGTGTACAGGATGTTGTCTCCGTCTACGAGGAGGTTCGACGGCTTGATGTCCTTGTGCTTGACCCTCTTCCTATGGATATAGGACAGGCCGCGGGCCAGACAGCCGATCCAGCGGGCTAGGTTGCGAGGGTTGACGACAGCGCCGCCCTGGCCGGCCATGTAGCGCTTTAGGTCCCACTGGGCAACAGGATTCATGAGGATGTAGAATTCTGGCCGGATTGAATACGAGCCAAGCACATTGACGATGTGCACGTGGTTGAGCGTCTCCATGAGTTGCACCACCTGCACTAGCCGCTGCCGTTCTTCGGCCGAGCCAGGGCGTATCGTTTTGCGCACGCACAAGGAGCCCGAGGCTCGGCTCTCCACCATATCTACATAGCCCATGGCGCCGCTGCCGAGCTCCTTGCGCCACTCGTACGGGTCGGTGTCTCCGCGACTCAGCACGATGTGCCGCGGCAGATCCAGCTCGCCGGCGTCCTGACCCGCCTCACCCGTGTCACGCTCCCGCATTCTAGCCTGGAGAACCTCGGTGATCTCGACGTGTCCGACAAACTTGGCTGCTTGCAGAGCTGTGCCGTGGAGTCCGCAGCGGATGAAGGGATCGGCGCCAGACTCAAGCAAGATCTTGACGATGGCGAGATTGCCGTGGTAGGCGGCTGCCTGGAGCGCCGTGCCGTGAGCCCCGCCGGTTGCGTTGATGTCGCCGCCGTCCCGCCTGTCCAGGAGGTCGCGCACCAAGGCCGGCAGACCCAGACAAGAGGCGTAGTAGAGCGGCGTTGAAACGTTCGGTAGCCCGCTCGAGATGTCTGGCTGGGAAATCCACGGTCTGTCGGGATCGAAGAGCTTTACCCAGTTCTGCACGTATATGTTGCTACCGCGGAAAAAGTCCGTGGCCGCACTTAATATGGGACCTAAGTCGCCGCGCGTATGGTCGGCCGCCTGCATATGGTAATGCCAGAAGCGGGCGGCGTAGTTGGCAAGCGGGAAGCGCTGGAGATAATTTAGAGAATTGAGAGTGTCGGGCTGATCTAGCAGGCACAGGTATTGCAGACAGGCGCGGGCCATCTCCACATGAGGGTTCAAGGACGACAGTCTGATATCCATATAGTCTCGGAGCGACACATGGACGAGAGCCAGAGCTTCGTGGCTCTCAGTGGCATTCTGGATTGTGACGGTGCGCGTGAGCTCCGGGCATATCCTCAGGACATCTTTGGATCGGAAGAACTGCCTTTGGGGCGACACGATGGGCGCGGCTGTCACATCGAGGGCGACCGCCTCCGCAACTTCCTCAATCCGAAGTGGGCGGCGCGCGTAGCCGACCCAAATCAGAACCTTCGGCACAAGCGCCGGGGTCGACGAGCTCTGATGGAGATGCGTGGATATGAGTCTGGCGTACATTTCGTCGAGAGTGCGGGGCAGTCTATCCAGCATATCCACCATATCTCTTGTAGAATACGCATTTTCTAGGAGCTGTTCGAGTGCAAGTTTGGCCCACAAGAACCTAGCCAGTGGATCTTGGTCAGATAGCTAGCCCCTTGAAAACTGCTAAATAAGTATGAGGGAGATGAGCCGTCAGGTCCAACTTACATTCCACCGGCCTTAGCCGCCACGCGCTTGTTGATATTGTCTAATACCTCGGCTTCCGTCCCGGGCCGATGATCAAACCGTTCGCCTAGTCTTTGGTGTATAAAGTTTTCAATGTCGAACCGATTGGAGTCACCGATGGTAATGTAGCGGGAGTGATCTATTGTCTCAAGGAAGGCCTGGATAGGCGGGAACGACCGGCTTGAGAGAAATAGATGCATTCCATCCAGATCCCAGTACATCATGTTTCGCAGGGTGGCGATGAGACGCCGGCCATCCAAACACTCGTCCAGGGCGTCGATGACGATGAAGATTTGCCGAAACTGCTGTACTGCAATGGTAACGGCGCGGAAGAGCAGCTCAAACGAGGGCTCCTGTCCCTGAGCCAAATTGCTGAGCATGCTCAGCTCGTTGGGAATGGTGGCCACCAATTCACACATCTGGGCGAGCAGTGACGAGAGAAGGTTCTGATCTGTGGCGCGTCTTGAGTCTCTCATTGAAAAATAGAAATACAGCACCGCGGTCGACTCGTTTGACCCCTGTCTGCGTTGCAGGTCATCGATGATAGCGGAGCTGGTGGCTTTCAGCTGCCGGCTCTGAACAACACAAGAAACCGTGCCTAGACCGGCGAGGACTTACCACAGGACAGTTTTCCCAGTGCCAGCTACAGAGGAGTTGGAGAACCTAAGAGTCAGAACTATAATCACAGCCCCTATTCCTCCAAGCTATAGGTAGAGACTCACCTTGCCCATCTAGCCAGAGGAGAGAATTCTTTTCGTGCAACCATGCCTGGAAGTCCTCATGCACAAAAATCCAGGACCCAGTATTTGGGAGGCGTTTGGCGGCGACGGACGCATGTGTCCCATATTGGAGCGAGCGATCCGGCTCCAAGAATCTTAACAGAGCAGTCCTATTCATGGCCTTGAGGTAATCCAGGTTTCTCTGATGTGAAGCCCCTGAGCCACCGAGGTCCCTTGAAGACGGCGATAGCTTCACGCGTGGATTCGAGTGGATAAGAGTATTTCTTCACGCAGCGGAAAGAGAGTGCGGGGTAGGGGGGAGCCCTGTTGGCATCGCGGAGCCTTGCTGTGCCCGTCACATACATGTCGTGTATGCAGAGTATCTGCAGCGCGCTGCCCATGTCCTCCGCTGATTTGATACAACCTCATACCCGGCTGTCAGCACGGGAAATAAGAAGAGGTTCAAGTTGAGTTGAATCACCCTTCGCATTTCCGGATCCCACTCAAGGTGTACAACCTATTTGCTGCGAGAGCTGTGGCTTCGAGATGAACAAAGAGGATTGACTTTCACTTTCGAGTTACGACTTACGACGACAGAAACTGCGTTGGCTCCAGCCAACATAAGGACGACATTGCGATGGATCCTGCTTCGTTGGCGGGTCTTGGCCTAGGTGCCGCTTCGGTAGCCTTCGAGATATTTGATGGAATCAGGAAAGGTTCGTAGCCTGAGTAACACTGTCCCTTGCTGGCTGTCATCCCTGATCTGTCCCCTCGATGACACTGAATACAAGTAGGCTACGAGATGTTTGAGGTTGCCGTCAACATGCCAGAAGACTGCGCGTCGTTGAAACTGAGCTTGCGGCTTGAATGCACCCGCCTGCTAGACTGGGGCGATCTCGCCGGCCTGTCCGACCACCGTGATCATCCCAAGTTTGACCGAAAGCTGAAGGCGAATCGCGCCACCATCATGGCCCTTTTGAGCGAGATAAGGGCGCTGATCGACAGGCTCGGCAAAATCAGCTTGCGATCCGACGACGTGCTGGCGGTGCTGCCCGCCGCCGCCGCCGCCGGCAGTGAAGCCGCGGCCCTGGGCACCGACACCGCCGAAACGCTGGACCTGGCCAACCGGAAAGAAGAGCTTAAGGATGCCGACATGGAGCAGTTTCGTAGCGTGCTTGAGTTCTCGGATGACCAGCTTCCCTCTCAGAAACAACACCTTCTGACGAGGGGCTGGAAGCGAGTCGTGGATATTGGTCGGGGCGTGGCTGACATCGCCAAGCAGCCCGGCCGCATTCGCTGGCTGCTGAGCGACAAGGATGCTTTCAAGATTCAGGTCGCGCGTCTGAAGGAGCTGACCGACTACCTCCACGAGACCCTCGGCGACCATCAGATGAGCATTCTGATCGAGAAGACCAAAGAGACGTGCATGGCCATGCTGCAAATGACAAGCTCCATGGGCGAGATAAAGGAGCTCGTCGAGGCTGTCGAGATTGCGACGAGTCGAAGCGACATCGAGTCGGAAATGCGCCGCTGGCTGCCACTGGGAGATACCGTGGTCGGCGTAGCAGTCCCTGGAATGGGAAGCACCCCAACAGCTACCATCGCGGAGCGTCCACAGACCCTCTTCGCACAGTTGACACGATTCCGATACAATATAGCGAGGTTGGATGCTAAGCCGGCCGAGGATCGTACAACACCAGACGACCGTGGGCTCAAAGGCCTCAAGCTGGAAGGGGAACGGCTGAAGACCCTGACGCTGGACCACGCCAGAGCAACCGAAGCGTACAGGGTTCCGGCGACCTATATGGGCGGAGCGGCATGGGTGGAGTGGAAGACCTACCACAGTGTCCGACACGAGGACACACCGGGGAAGTTCCACTACGGGCCGGCAACTGTTGTCACGGCCAACCTCGAGCGGTTGGTGGCCATCTTGCATATGGCAAACCGGCCGACGCAATTCCGCGTGCCGTTGTGTGCCGGGTACTATGACGACGAGGAAAATAAACGGTTCGGCCTGATCTACCGGTTGCCCGGCCCGGCACCGCAGGCGGCCGAAATCACATCTCTGTCCCAGCTGCTGCTGCTGCACCGGGGCCAAGCGCCACCCCCTATCCAGAGCCGCATCAGCCTCGCGAAGGAGCTCGCAACCAGCCTCTACTTTCTTCATGCCGTCAACTGGCTACACAAGGGCCTCCGCAGCGATAGCATTCTCGTGCCGACGCCGGGCGGCATCCCGAACTATTCCCAGCCCTACATAAGCGGCTTCGAATATTCCCGTCCAGACGAGGAAGATCTGACCTCCACTGCGGCCGCCGAGGACTGGGCCGTCTACACGCACCCGGACTACCTGGGCGTTGACAGAAAGGGGTACCGCAAGACGTTCGACATGTACAGCATAGGCATCATGCTGCTCGAGATTGCCTGGTGGAAACCGGCGGAAGAGATTCTCGGCTTCAAGCAGCCTCCAAAGCTGTCGGGAGGGAAAGACTCTGACAATGCCGGCGGAGAGAAGAGCAAACCTCTTGTGAAGCAAGATGTGTCTCCTGGGGAAACACACAAACTTGCGGGGAAGACCTACTCGAAAGATTCGTTGGATGACCTTAAATACATCAGGAAGCGTCTTCTCGCGGATGAGCCGGCACTGCTTGAGCATGTTAGCGCGACCATGGGTCCTCGGTATCGCGACGCGGTGAGGGCCTGTATTGGAGGCCTCGAGCACTTCAAACTTCCGATAGATGCGGACGAGACGCATGAGGTTATTTCTGCTCTGCTCCAGCAGGCGTATCTACGATTGGTGGTGGATATCCTGCGAGGCATCAGGGTGTGATTAGCGACGTCTCGTTCTTAGTTACCGTAGTGGGAAAATCAACTTGGTGGCATGCCTTACCTGGGCCAACATGCCTTGCCACAACAACATGCCATACCATGCCAACATGCTGTGCCACCCTCCCCACCAAATGGAACATCGCAGCTCCAACTCGAGACAACTACCTATATATCCTCGTATGAAGAAGGAGCACCGCATCATTTAAATATAGTTTAGTCAAGTAGTTCAATAAATCACTTTTTCCCTCTTCGCGCGTGCCTCTGTTCGATTCCGTAGTTAATTGTACCCATTTCTCTTTGTTCCAAACTTCGATATTGAAGTTTATGCTTGGTACCTGTAATTGATCCAGGGCTTCAGAAAGGTTATAGGGGGTTGCCAATTCTTTTGGAAAAGGTAGGTCGGGTTGGCACGGCATGTTGCTGTGGCACGGCATGTTGAAAAAAACATGCAAATGAATTGGGGCAAGCGTTTCCAGGCCCAATAAGGCATGCCACCCCCTATTGAACCCTGCTGTGGTACAGAACTCGTACAGGAAATAATACTGAAAGTATTTCTCATGTTCGCCAGATAGCGTACCAGATCTGTTTATAGATGACGCTGACTTGCAATGTCCATGTAAGTTTTAGTGTTGAAGCTGTGGCAGTTGAACTAGGAAGAAAGTGCCTGTATGGCTACTACACCGTGGAAGCATGCATGCGTTTGGTCTTTCAATTTGATCTACATATCCGGCATGCCATGTCCACGTATGGCCGACGCGATGGCGTAACTACCTAGCAGAAGCGCAGACTGTCCCAATACCAGAGGCTCTTCCTCGGTTCCACGACGGCGAGGGAGACGGATTCGTACCGGTCTCCCATGACAAACTTCTCGGCGCGCTTCTTGAGCTCTGCGTCCTTAGAATCCAGCCAATCCCACCCTTTGACGCTGAGCTGCTCCTTTGCCAGGCGCGACCATTTCAACGGCCACGGCAACACGGCATAAAACCGTGCCAGACCACCATCTGGAGCAGCCCCCAAGAGTCGCAGGGGATGTAGAATGCGGTTATAAGTCGCCAGAACCTCTTTTCCCTGCTCTCGCGTATAGTAATAGGCGGTGTGTGACCCCCGGTCAGGGTCATCGTGGCCCGTCACGACCAGACGCAGGGTCAAAGCCGGCAGGTTAAGCTCGTCTTTCAGCCACTCGACGGTGGCATCCCAGTCTAGGAGCGCCGGGTGCCCGTCACTTGGCCGAGCCTCGGAGGTAAATTGGGAAAAGGTGAGCTCAAGAAAGCGGAGATGTCCCAGACAGTGCCGAGGGATGACGTTTCTCAGGAACTGGCTGGCAGCAAAAGACTGGAATGGGTAGTCGCCGGGGTCCCAATACGCGCATGGGTCGTTCCACGGGCTGTCAACGATGATGAAGCGGTTCTGGGTGTAAAATACCACATTGGCTTCGCTATAGACAGTTTGACAGACGAGGAATAAGGAGGTTGGCGTAACCCAGCATTTGCACCGTGACGACGCCGCGGTATGGTTCAGGCGGCAGAAACAGCCGTTGGTCAATTCAGTCCACGGCGTCTTGTAGCACTGAGTAAACTGGCACCCATTGCAGTGTGAAACATCACAAAAGCCACCCCCACGGTCGGTATAACATGGAGCTCTCTGTAGAAAATATCCACTGTTGGGGACCTTCCGGTGCCACATGACCTCTTTGCTGGGAGTGACGAGGTCGGTATATTCCAGAATTCGAAGCCGGATCTCACGCGGCAGAGTGAGAAGACCAGGGGGGTTCAGAGGGGCTGCCGGGGAAAGGTTTGTGGATAAAGACATTGGCGAGGACGGGCCCGGCGACGGCGGGGGTTCAGAGGATATAATATGACGAGCCCGTAACACGGCGCTATCGGTGATATGCTGGAGCCGTTTATCCGACGTTTCGGACAGTCTGACATGGCAATCCTTTAGTCGCGGGAGTAGATACAGGCCATCCAGGACGCGCCTGGCTATCTGGACCTCTGTGTTCCGGACGTCGCAGACCAAGGACAGTTCGAGCCTTCCAGGTACGATATGCGGTGCTAAATAAAAAGCCGTTTTCTGCCACTCTGCCAGCACTTCCTCGGCCCGTGTATTGGACCTGTCGAGCGGGAAGTCATGGTCATCTTCGTGGTATTGGGAAAGGCATCCGCGGAGCAACTTGGGGTCGCTCACTTTGGGCTGGCCTTGCCCCGAGCCAGACGCCCACCCGCGTCCACAGCAGTAGCCACTCCCGTACCTTTCACCTTGTACATGGCAGGAGGTTTGGTTGAGTACGACCTTGAGATTGGTCAGAGATGCCAGCGCGTGCGGCGTGAGGGCGCGCAGGGAACTGAGACTCCGGAGGGGTTCGTAATAGATGATGAACCAGTTCTCCGAGTACAAGAGCGAGGATGCTTCGAGATAGATTGTCCGACAGGACAGCAAGAGACCGTAGAAAGCTGCAGGTCTAAAGTCCTCTCCCTCTATCCTTGATGATGCAGGACCACCCAACTGGTAGATTGCTGGGGCGGTGTGGGCATAGTATTCTATTTGACCTAAATCAAGGTCAAGGTAGATGTGACGTCGAATTTCGGGGCTGAGGCGTAAAATGCCAGGAAGATGGCTGTCTGCTGCCATCACTGTCGGTACGCTGCGTCCGTGTGTTGTGCCTAAGGGGCGCGAGTAAAGGCAATACCTAGACTGAAAGGTCACTCGGTACGACTTTGTGCAACGTGGATTAAGAAGCAGGAAATGTGGGTGGGTTGTTGGTTGCCATGTGGCGTATTCGGAGTGGGGGAGATAATAGCCCCTGACCAGGCACCAACATCTAATGCTGGGATGTCTGCTCATCAGGGCGACGAGGCTGCCATCACCCACCAGAGATCAGCTACATACCTACTCGATTTTACCCGGACTTCAACTCCCAAATACAAAAAGTTGTAAAATTATTTCTGGGTCCAATGCTTCCCTTCTTGGTACTATTAGATGCCCAGGCCAATATCCTAGTACCTGGCCGCGCCGTCACGGACAGGGCTTGGGGTCTTTACGGTCCTTTCTTTTAGGATATTAACAGTCAATCTAATCTCTATCCACGAGAGTCATGTCACGAGGGTTACTTCTCCATGAACTGCGTTCATCGATCTCTACAAGCAACATCAAGGGCAAGTCTGCAATGTCCAAGCACCATTTACACGGTTTCGCCGGCTATACTCCAGGGATGATATCAACTGCGATTACGCTGCAATACAGTTTCCTGTCTGGACTTAAATGGTTCGGAGTTGTGGGAAACGTGGTGTATAGAAACCAGGGGGGTTCCTCGACCTTGGGAATGTTATCTTTGAAAGATTTGCGTGTCTATGTGGTTGAGATAGTCACAAAGAGGAGTTATCTCCTCACTGCTGTCGAAGAACCCGAGAAGCCACACGAAACAAGTCGCAGCCGGATTGGGATCAAGCGAAGGTTACGAACAGCCAAGTATCATCACGCCGACCTTGTCATCGAGTTTGAAACCCGATATCGGTCAGGAATCCATGCCCAGTGCCCTAGTGTGGAGTGTGGCGTCCCCAGGTTTTGTCCCAACACCGGGGGAAGCGTTCCACGACAGGAGCCAACACACTGCCGGGATCCTTTGTCGGAAATCAGCTGCCGCAGCTTGCCACATCACACCCAAGTCTGGGAATGGCAGCATACGGCAAGGCACGGTCCATTGGGCATCGAAGGTCGCATGTTGAACTTTGACAATGTTACACAGCCAAGAGGGAAGTACTTCCTCAGTACTTGTTGACTCACTTTTCTGCCAATAGAACCCATCGGGTAAGATAATTCCTGATCATCGGGTTTCCTTTGTGGGTACTCCGATCTCAGGTACCTATAGTTTGGCTAGGGACTTGGACATCGCCCAGTTCTCGCGCACGCACCGCTTGCCGAAACCCGAGAACTCAAGTTATGTCTTCCAGGATGCATGCGCGGTTGCTGTGATGTCAAGGCGACCATGTGAAGGAGGGGCTGGTTAGGCAACGAGCGGGCATTTGATTCCAATGAATCCTTGACGGTCCTCCTTTGGATGGTGACACATCCCGCGCTCAGGAATCCAAAGAATTGGCACTCTGTCATCTGTGTAACCTAAGGTAGTGATAGAACCCAGCCCTCACTCGTCCGTTGTCAAGAGCCGATATCCCAGACTTGGAAACCCCGTGTCTGGGTGCCAAGTAACAGCATCTCAGTTCAATATGGGGATATGCCGCCCTGGCCACTGCCCCCCCTTGACCCTGCGAGGAAAAACAAATTAACCTTCGCCTATGGCGGCTGTATGGCATTGGTTCTCTCTCCTTCCACTCATCAAGTGCCGGTATCACTATACTCATGGCCAAGCGAACAAAGCCAACAACCCTCCATGGCCCTCTCTCTACCCATCCATGCCATGTCGTGTCGATCCCACTCTCTGTGCTACCATAAAGTCAAACCTCCCGTCGCTGGCGTCTCCCCAGCAAATTTTGGTCAAAATAAGACTTCTCATGTTACACATAAACCTGCGTATCCTACCATTCGACACGAACCTTGGCCCCAAAAATACCGCTGCTATGGGTGACGGCGGAACTGACATGCCCTGGATGTTGATTCGCCGCTGATACCACCATGGTTCCATATCGATATCGGAAAAGGAGAGGTGCCATTTGGGTCCATGACACAAAAGTTGCATTGGAAAGGTATACCATACATATTATTCCCTGGACGGTCCTGATCACCACCTAACAAGCGCTATAGTTCTGTGTGAGCCCGCCATCTCGGATAGGTATGCCCTGCGATATCGGCCAACCATAAATCCTATGGCAAGCATCTTCCGACATGGCTTTCGAGCCACCATCCCACGTTGAGAAGACCATACCGGTCAGCATTACCACCTGTCGATATCCAGCTGACCTTCTTGGCGAGCAAATCCTTCGTTAGGCGGAAGTTGAAAGCTTTGGTCTTCGTCATGTTGACCGATGTCTGGAGGGGTTCACATGACCCCCTATCCTCGTTGTCATCCTTCCGATTTCCGATCCCCAGCACCTGTCTCCTTCATGCCCAACGCGCGGAGGAATAGAGGAAGATGGATGGATTGGGCACACATGCCACCCTCGGCGGCTCATACGCCGAGCTCGTCATGAACCCCGAGGTCGTGGGACGATATATCTGCAGTTGATCTCTGTCATTTGTGACAGATATGAAAACCACAGGGGCCCAACGCACGCACGCCACAGCACACAGCACAACCAGACATTCTTCCTGGCAACTTCCGAACCATTTTGTCCCAAGATATCCCCGCCATTTTCCTATTCGCCGACCCCGCAAAGCGCCATGTTCTCCTCGCTTCTGGGCGTTCCCAGCCACAGCGGCAGCAAGACGCACAAGCACGGCAGCCGGCGCAGCACGAGCAGCACGAGCACCAGCACCGGCCACAGCAAGCCCAAATCCTCCCCCAGCGCCCAGCAGCGGCCGGTTGCGGTGCCGGGAACAATCTCGGCGTCGTTCCTGTTCGTGGTCAACGAGCTGCAGGTGGACTACGAGCCGGCGTCGCCGCAGGAGCAGCCGCTGACGGACCAGTGGCTCAACATGATGCCGCCGCAGCACGCGGGCGCCTACGTGGGTGAGATCGTCGGCACCGTGTTCCGCTACCGGGACGGCGTCATGTCGCCGGCGCATGGCTATGTCTGGTGGGTTGGATGCTTTTCGTTGTTCTCCGTCCCTTTTCTCTTCCCCAAAAACAAAAGCAGGAAGGATGGGGAAACGGTTGCGTTGCGATGTCTTGCCTCTCCTAAAAGCTCTCCCAATCCAATCTCCTATCAGCCCTGACCCCCCTACCCACCCCCTATTCCTCCTATCTATCCCCCCCTATTATCCGCTCCCTCCCCCCACCTTTCAACCCCCCTTTCACCCCTTTTCCCCTCCCACCCCCACCCCCATTGGTGAATGCAACCAAAGTAACAAACCCGCCTCTCCTCTGTCCCAAAAGGCACCGGTGGGTCGCCTACACCGAAGGCGGCTCCGAGCGCCCTTGTTCTGTCCCTACGCTGATTAGCTGTCGGAAACTCGTCTGGAGATCATTCACCGGCCTTGTGCTTTTCAAGCCGCTCTCATTA